AAAAAAAAAGCTCAACCCAGGCAAAGATCGCGCAGGATGAGATTGAGGTGTGCGTGGCGGCTAGGTGGAAAAGTAGTACTCGTCGCCTGGAGCGCCCGTCGCCGGTGCAGCAGGTGCGGCTGCCGAGTCAAGTGCGGGCTCAGCGGCGTCCGCAGGCTCAGCGTGCATCGCGGCGTCGTGGCCCGTGACCGTGCCAAAGCGCGCAAATGTATCGTCTGGCTGTTCGTCCGCAGGCCGTGTGCGATCTACTCCGGCGTCTCCTGGCTGTGCGACCTCTGCTTGAGCGTCTCTTGGCTGTTCGGCTTCTGCCTGCGCGTCCTCAGCTTGAACCGCTTGCGCCGTGTCTGCGGGCTGCGAGACCGGTCTAACTTCTCCACGCAGGCTTGCGTCGCTTCCGTTCACGGGCGGCACCTCGATGCGTGTCAGGGATTCGCCACTGGGCTCGGCATCGCTGCTGATGGTCTTGATCCACTCGGACACCTTGCCCCTTGCGCGCGCCACGATGGCAGATCCACTGGCCGCATCCGCCTCATCGTCAGCGCGCGCATCGTTGCGCCGCACGTACCTCCTCTTTTGCCGATCCTTGCTGGCGCCTTGATCTTTATCCGCGCTCTCTGGCCTGCCGATCTCGGAGGCGGAGCGGTTCGCGCGAGGCGGGCGTGCCGGTCCCAGCAGGCCCTGTTCGCGCAGCTTATCGCGCCGCTCGCGCTGCAGCTGCGTGTTGCGCGCGCGCAGGATCACCTCGCGCATCTCGGGCGACAGCTCGCGGCGCGTGCGCTTGTCGATGATCGAGCTGAGCCGGATCTTGCCGTTGGTGGTGGTGGCGGTGGCAAGGATCTCGTTGGCCACCTTGATGCGCTCCATCATCTCGGGCGTGTACTCCTCCTTGGGCGGGCGCCCGCGTCGCTTCTGGACGGGCGAATCCTGGCTGGAGAGAGCGCGCTTGGTGGCGCTGCCGGGCACTTTGCCGACGCTGCTCGCGCTAGTCTGGCTCTGCCGCGCCGCCTGCGAGACGCGAGTGCGCCGCTTGGTCATGACTCGTCGGCCAGAGGCGTTGGGGCGGAAATCAGCGTCATTGGGATCGTCGAAGTCCCGCGGTTGCAGCTCGTCTTCGACGTCGGCGTCCGACGAGTCGCCATTGTGGTCGGACTCCATCACTGCCTCTGCACCGAGAGCAAGTCCGTCGTCATCGTCGTCTGGTGCGCCCGTCATCGAGTCGTCTGCCTGTGTGTATGCTGCGGCCTGTGCTGCAGGGTGGATTCGCGGATGTTGTGGAGCTGATGGCGCTGCGACTGTGGCGTACGGATGCGGCGCGTACGCGCCATGAGAGTGATCTGGCACTCGACTTGAGCCGGCGAGAGATGTCTGTGCATGTGTGTATACGTCGTTTGGGTGGTGCGGTGGGGCCACTGAGGCTTGCCTCATGGTCGGTGCGGCGGATGGTGCAGGGGTGAAGCGTGCCATTGCGGTTGCAGGGTTGGGAGTCGAGGAGCGAGCCCTTGCACCCGATCGTCCACCGAGCAAAAAGTCGAGATCCGCACGTGTCGGCAACTTCTTTCTCGGCACAGCATCCAGCAGGGGATAAGGCTGAGCTTGAACGGGTGCTGGTGGGGGTGCTGACATTGCGGCGTAGTTGAGTTGTGCCGCAACAGCGGGAGGTCGCGCATAGTACGCAGGGGCCGAGAGAGCAGCTGCATGCTGTTGTGGAGCGTACGGAGCGGGCTGTTGGGACGCATAGGCGGGCACTACGACTTGCGGCATCGGTCGCTGCATGCGGGGCTGTTGTGCTTCCAAGGGCTGCCGTGACGATACTGGCTTTGATGTGCTCGCCCACGGATGTAAGGGCTGACTAGGGTCAATCTCGGGCTGGACCTTGCGTGGTCTGCCCCGCGGTCTCGTTGGTGCTGGCGCTGGGTCGATCATCTTGCCCTCGACTGCTGGCGCCATCTTTTGTGTGGATGCGTGTCGCTGTCGCTTTTGTGTCGATTCACGCCAAGGTTGTTGTGTGCGCGTGCGGCATGTCGCGGGTCAGATCGGCGGCCAGTTGAGAAAAGACGCGAGCCGAAGTTCGATTGCAGGGTTGGTGATGGTATGAGTGGGTATATGACGTTGCGAACGCGAGCAGGCGGGAGAGATGTGAATGGCTAAGAGAGAGGAGGTGGGAATGGCAATTTGTGATGCTTTGGCTGCCGAGACGCGTTTGGGCGGATTCGCTTCGCATACAGCAGAGCCGCACGCGACCATCGCCGATCCGAACCGCAAACAACGCCGATTCGCAATCAAACTAGATCCACGACGCGCCCTCAGCTGCACGGACATCCCACACCTTCTCGGCTCGGGTGTTGAACTGCTTGACCTCCTCTTCACTGACGTCTATCATCCGAGCCGTACATCCACCCGTCATGCTGGCCTTATCGTCGCGGCTCGCATCCGCTGCACCAACACGCAACCTGGGCCTTGTCTCGCTTGTGCGCCCTCTTCACACCACACAGCACCGCCTGTTCGCCCAACCACCACCACCACCCCCGCAGCACGAACTCAACGAAGCCGAGCAGTACCTGGCCAACAAAGCGGCGCGCAAAGCCGAACGTGCACGCAATCCGACCGGAGCTTCGGCTCGCCACGCCTCGCTCTACAGCCAGCTCTTCCCGGCGCTGCTGCGCATTCTGGCGTACGGCAGCACGGCCTACTTTGGCCTCCACCTCCTCTGGAACGTGCTCGACCGCGACGAACAGACCAAGCTCATGAACCAACACGCAGGCTCGCTCGAAGGCACCGCAAAAAGCTTGGCCGACAAGGTGGATCACGCCACCCCAAATCTTGCCCCGTCCACAGCAGCGTCGGAACCAGGACAAAGTCAGCCAAAGAAGCGCTGGTACTGGCCCTTCTAGCGTCGTACACGCAACTCAATCGAGTCTTGTACACTATCAACCACATATCGATATCACAACCATACTGAAGCGTAAATGACGGGCGGCTTGGAATTCGAAGCTAGGATGCGACCACGTCCATGCCGACCCAGACCTGGCTGGCCTCGTCCGGCGCGGCTGCAGACGGTGCCAAGTCGGGGAGCCAAGCCAGGTGCGAGCCAAAGATGATTCGGCCTCTTGCGTTTCTTCTCCACTTTGCGAGTGTCTTGAGTGTCTGTGGCTTGACCTCGCCGGTCTTTTGATCGACACACACCATCTGGCATCGTCTGCACTCGCCCAGCACGCCGAAAACATGCCTGCCACCCAGCACGAACCTCGACATGCCATCCTCGGCAAAAGCGACCCTCCCCTCGTCATCCGCTGAGGCGCGCGGGGTGACCATGAAGTTGGCACGGAAACTTGGCGCTTGTGCGCTGACCGCTGTTGAGTCGGTCTTGGAGTGGGAGGCAGACGAGTAGCCCGAATCGGAAGCGAGGTCTTCCGTGCCCGTGTGGGTGGCGGCCTGCATCCATTCGCTCACGCGCGCCACCGAGGCCGAGTTGATCAGCAGGAACGGTGACTCGTTGCTAAAGATCAACGGCACCTTGCTCGTGGCGGTGGGCAGCTTCGAGTGTCGACTGATGCCACTCGCTTGTCGTGCCAGCGTACACGAGACGCCCAGCAACTCGCTAAGCATGCTGCGCAAAGCTCGACTCGTGTGTGCGCGTGGCCAGATCTCCGCTCCACACACCTGAGTTGCCTGACCCTGAGAGTCGCTGTACTGGTCCCCGTCGTCGAGTGGTACAGCAAAACGCGAGGATGTACCGGCGATGGTGATGATCAACTGCCGCGTAAGGGTATCGATGCGCGGTCGAATGAGCGCCATCTTGGGAAAGCGTTTCTGGCTGAGCGTCTTGCCATTGGCGAGGTTCATGACGATCCATTCGCGGTCGAATTGGAGCCCGTGCGGGGTGAGCTGCCACGCCTCGCCGCGCGCAAGCTCCTGCCCCGCACAAGACTTGATCGGATACACCGTGATGCTCGCCAGCTCAAACCGCCTCTGCAGCCCTGCCTCCGGCTGGACCCTCGCTGTGAGCGTGGGAGCCGGGTGCGTGGAGAGGAAGAAGCGCGCGACGAACCCCACCAGGCGCTCCACGTCTTCTTCCGTGTTGAGCAGGCACAGGCTCGCGCGCACTGACGCCGATGCCAACCCGCCCTCCAATGCTGCGTCGCCAGCATCGTCGCATCCAGCACCTTCGGCATACTCTTGCTTCAGCCGCGAGGCCGGGATGCCCAGATGCGTCGTGACGAACCCCGGATTGCAGTGCCGCCCCATGCGCACATGGATATTGCTGATACTCGCCAGACGATCCACCTCTTGCGGCGGAACCATCATGCCCGTTGCCGTGATCAAATTAAAGTTGACAATCGGACCGTACCCCCCTGCACTCCCGTCTGCATCCCGATACATCCGCACAACAGCATTGCCGTTGCCATGCCGCAAACTCCGCAGTGCCGAGACCAGCTTGTCGCTCAGACCGGCCACATATTCTCGTCGTGCATCCCACGCGCCAAAGCTCTGCGCGTAGTAGTCCAGCGCCTTGTTCACGGCGAGGATACCGTGTACGTTCACCGTGCCGTCTTCAAAGCGCGCTTCGAACTCGCGCCGTGGCTTGGTCCACGCGCTCTCGGCGAGAATCGCGTCGACGGTACCGCCACCGAAGTACGTCTTGCCGCCGAGGTGGGGTGCAGCTGAGGCCTTGACGAGCAGTCCGCCTATGCCGGTGGGGTAGCCAAAGATCTTGTAGAACGAGAATGCCACCATGTCCGGCCGCTCATCCTCGTTTAGTTGGGAAAAGTCGAGTCTCGACGATGAAGAGAGGTACGATGCGGCGTCCAACAGCACCAGTGATCGATCGGCCTTCGTTCGGCAAAGGCGCTTCATGAGATCGCAAAATCGTCGGCCCGTCGCGTTGCACTGCAGCGGCAAGGCCACAAGCCCTGCATGCCCAGCCACGACGTCTGCATCCTCTTCGCTGAATATCGAGCTCGAAACGCCAGCGCGGGCGGCGAGGTCTCGAATGCCCACCACGCTCGTGTGGCTCTGACGCAGGTACGAAAAGCGGGCGTGTGGGTCGGATGGGCTTTGCAGAGATGCCCAGTCGATGCATTCGGCCACGAGCTTGAGGCTTGCCGTCGTGCCGGCTGTGAAGACGAGGTGCCAGTCGTGAGTGTCTCGAATGCCAAACAGCTCGTGCATGACCCGCATGCGAGTCGCTGTGATGTGGTCCGCTGTTGCAATCGCCGAAGGCGATTTGGAATGCGGGTTCGACAGCAGTCTCGATGAAACGTCCTCGGCGACCGCCTGCACGAGGCCGGTCGGGAAGGGAGGTGCTGCTGCTGCATCGAGGTAGCATGCATCTACAAGTTGTGGACACTGCTGGCTACGGACGAAGTCGACCTTCTCCGCGACTGTGCTGTCTTTGGGAGGCGCCGCAGCTTGCTGAGGCGTAGCGGACACTTTGGCAGCCGAGGTTGACGGCCGAGAAGACCTCGTGCGCGACAGATGCTCTGTTCGCAAATCAGGATCAGCTGTGGCCTCGGAGTGCCCATGAGAGCCCCTGTCTTCGGATGCGGGAGGTTGGACTTGGAATCGCTTAGAGGAGCGGTGCTGCGAACGTGCGCAGAGCGCCAGGTAGATGGCCACAGCTAGAGCAACGCGTTGAGCTGCGGTGAGCAGTCCCAGCAGCGACGAAAGATACGGTGAGGCTATGCATAGCGTCGCAGCCCCTATTGCGACAGTAGAAGAGCCCATCGTCATCGACACCGAGGCTGAGGGCGCCGAGGAGGTCGAATGCACCGACATGTTGGCGAACGAAGCTGTTGGTCGTCGAGGAAACCGGCCGCGGATGCGCAGGACCGTACTGGGACGCTTCCTTCAGGGATGGTGGCAAGACTGATACATGCCCGTCTGATCGTTCGGTTCGAAAGAGAAGGTGAGAGGGCGAAGAAGGGCGAGGACGACGGGGGAGGCGAGGGAGTACCTTGGCGGTGTGTGGTCGAGATAGGCGCACCTCGACGTGCATCCAAACCGGGGTCTCCGCCACCCACATCTTCGGACTTGGCCGAGCCCTGAATATTCTTTGAACGCTGAGCCGACACCATTCGACGGCCTAACAAATTCCCCGAAGTTCCTCGTTCATACCTTGCTGCTTTCATCGCTCTCAGCATCAGATGCACGGTCCACTGTCGGCTGTATCTCTTGATTGAGGGGTGAGTCTGCTCTGTCTACGAGTATGGCTGAGTCTAGCTGAACAAGGATGCCAAAGGATACTCTGCACGCGCTCTGCCACGCGTGTTTCCAGCACCGAGACCGTTATTCGCCCGCAGCTTCTCCGCCAGCTGGGGGTCGTCAAACGCCGCTGCGATGCCACTCGGATCGGCGGCTGTGGCGATCATCATCCTGACCGCTGCACGCGCCGCCTTCTGCCCTGCCTCCTCAAGCATGAGTGCCACCGTGTTCGTCACGGCTCGGGGCAGAAGCGAGAGCTGCGGCTGGTCACCTTTTGCATTCACCTCCTGCACCTTTTTCCAGAACGGCTTGTCTTCGGGGAAGCGCACCAGCCGCAGGTCGGTGGCGAGCGCAAGCGTACCGTCCTCGGTCACTTCGCGACCGGCATTCGGGCGGATCTTGGCGGTGGCTTGCTCCAGCGTGAGGTTGTCCTTGGTCACCATGGCTTCGATCTCGGCTTGGAGCGCAAGTGTCATGGCGTAATACGCCGAGTCCCAGATACCGCCGATCGAGTCGACGAGCCCCTTGCCGTAAGGTTTGGCCTTGGCATCGGCGGCAGAAGCTTCGGAGGCTGCAACACCGGCTGTCTTGATTTCGTCGTCGGCCTCGGACTGCGATTTGCGCGACTGCTCGGCGGCCGAGTGAGCCGCCACCGCCAGTCGCGATTCCTCCTCTTCCATGCGCTTCTTGAGCTTTTCCGTGCCTGTCATTGGCTTGGAAGCCGCATCGGATGTAGTCGCGGACTTGTCGCTGGCACGGCCGAGAAGCGCTTCTTCCGCCTTGGCCACCAGGTCCGACAGGATACCGTTGCTGTCCCCATCGCCACTGCTGGCTTGACCATCTGTCGACTCCGAAACCGGGGCCGGGGCCGGGGTTGCACCCACTCGCTCGATCATGATCGTGTTGTTGCCGCTGCTCGCGCTCACCTCTTGCGTCCTCCACTGGCTGGTGAGGCTGACTGCCTTGATTCTTCGGATGGCCGACTTGACCGACTCCTGCACCTCGCCATTAGCGCCCTCCTTGTCTGCAGCAGCCTTGACCGCCTCGGCATCTTGTCCGAGCTCAACGACCGACTCGGCAGTAGGCGTCGCGGCTTGAGAGCCGGCAGGGGTGCTGACCTGCACCTGTTCCACCTCTGCATCTGGGTTGCAGCGAGCCCAGGCGCTGAGTCCCGTCATAACCCGTCCGCCGGCAAGGCTCTCGACGACGTCGCGCGAGATGCTGCGGCCATCGCAGACCTTCTGCAGGAAATCGTTGTACATCTCGTCGATGTGCTTGGCCGACTTGGCGCGCTGCGCATCATCGAGCTCGTGCAGCGTCGACATGGACGTAGAGCCGGTGAAGAACGACTGGATGCCCACGTTGAAGCGATCGAAAAAGGCGCGTGTGATGGTGGGACGCAGCGATGCGACGCCGATGGAGCCCGTCACCGTGTTCTCGCACGCGAGGATGGCATCAGCGGCACTAGCTGCGTAGTAGCCGCCCGAAGCAGCGGCGTTACCGAACGATGCCACCACAGGCTTGCCGTAGTCTTCGCGCACCCGGCGCACCGCATCCCAGATCGACTCGCTCGCCACAACGTCTCCACCTCCCGAGTCGATGCGCAGAACAATCGACTTGATGTCCTCGTGCTCCGCTGCCTCTTTGAGACCCTTGAGCACGGAGGACGTCGAGAACTCGCCAGGGGCCGAGCTGATACCTCCGAGCAGGTAGACCACGCCGACCTCGACGATCTCGTCGTCCTTGAGCTGGCGCTCGAGCGTTCGGTCGTTGACCTTGTTGTAGTGGTGGAGCGATTTGAATTTGACCTCTTCGTTGCCGCCGTGCTTCGGATCGATGAGACGCTTGACGATCTCCCTCTTGAAGGCCGCGCCGTTGATCAGACCGAGCTCCTTTGCCTCGCGTGCCGAGAAGGGACCTTCCTTCATCCACGCCTCGAGCTTGCCGGACATGGCATCGGGATCCTCGTCAGGGAATCGGTTGACAGCGACGGCATGGACGAGACCACGGTTGAGCTCACCGAGCAGCTCGGCTTCGTTCTGGATCTGGGGCGCTGGAAGCGACTCCTCGCGGCTGAACGTGGAGACCATGGACTTGTACTCGCGCCTTGCTTCCGCAAGCACCTTGATGCCAAAGTAGTCGAGCACCTTTTTGAAGAAGGGGATCTGCGCGCCAAGACCCGTCAGGGGGACTGAGCCCGTGGGCTGAATCCAGAGCTCGTCAAAAGCTGACGCCAGGAGATACTGTCCCTGGCTGTTGAAGGTGTCCGCCCAGGCGATGGATGGCTTTGCCTTGTCGCCAAACTGCTCCTTCTTGGCGATCTTGAACTCGTGGATAGCCTGCATGAGCTCTTCGATCTGCGCGAGTCCGAGCCGATTCGGCGTGACGGACGAGGGCAGGTGAAGACCGCTAAAGTCGGCAAAGATGCCCTTGATGCGCTGATCCGCCTGCGCCCACTTGAGTGCACGGATGACCTCGAACATCTCCATGACGCGCGGCGCCTCCTCGCCTGCTGCAGGCGCATTGATGAGCGCGCTGACGGATGGCGGCCCTTTTGACTCGACGATGGAGCCGTCGTAGATCTTCCAGACCAGGTAGGTGTCGTCGTGGATCAGGTCACGGAGGTAGGCGTCGCGCCTGAGCTTGAGGTAGCCGATGGCGGTGTAGGTTGCGAAGAAGCCGAAGAGGAGGGGTCGACGGTAAGACCATGCTTTGGCGGTGGTGCGACCGGTGCGGGAGGAAGCGATCTTGTGCGCGACAAAGGCTGTGCGCGGGAAGCGCTTCTGCAGCGACGAGAACATGGTCCCATTCGCTGCGGCCTGCCCTGTGGATGCTTTGGCGGGTCCGCCGGATGATGTGGGCGGAGGAGAGCCGCTCGAGCTCGACATGGTGGTGTGCTTGGGCGAACTCGTCCTGCACGGAGTGTGGTGTAAAGACGAGGATGCTGAAGCGATGCTCGTCAAGGCTAGGCGCGGTTACGTGAGCCCTCTGTGCTCCTGCTATCTGCTCAAGCCGAGGCGCTGACGAGTCCAACACCCGTCGCGAAGATCATCTTTGCGTGCCGCTGCCGTCCACAGGTGGAGAAAAGAGCGCATCGTAGATCCACAACTCTTTCTCAACACCCGATCCGATCGCACGCCGGGAATGCACAAAAAATAAATTAGAGGGAGGCGAACGCTCGAGAAGGAAAACGGGCGAGGCGACTGCTGAGCGAGAAAAGAAAAATCGACTCAGCCGGGCCGATCCGGATTGCACGAAAGTGCCGCTGCAGGGCGCAGTCCGTCGGTCGACCTCCACTCTGTGCTCGTCGAGCCAAGAAGAAGTCGCAGAGTCGCCAAAGGTGGGAAGCAAGCGAGGCGAGATCGACCCTGGATCTGCTGCTGCTACTCCTTCCCTCCATCCGACGACACCTACATCTCGCCACCGCATCTCTACGCTCAGCATGCTTTCCGGTCACGTTCTCGTCCGATCTGCAGGTCGAATCCTGCAGCGCTCTGCACGCAACCTCCGACCCGCCGCGCGCGGTGTTGCCACCGAGGCCTCGGCTGGTCCCTCGCGCTCGTCTGCATGGTCGAGCCCCACTCTTGGCGCTGCGGCGGCGGCGATCAGCATCGGTGCTGCTGTCTACACGCTGCGTCCGTCGCCGATCCAGTGCGAGCCTCGCAAGGCATGGTCGGACCGCATGAAGCCCAAGGAGTCCAAGGGCGATGCTGCGCTCCACGACGACGCCCACGCCCGACACGCGCCTGCGGCTGCCCACGACGAGCACGTCGAACCTGCCGAGGAGACGCCCGTCGCCATCGAGGTGGCCGTCGAGGAGTCCGAGGAGCAGACGGGTCAGCAGTCCGCATACGACCCCGAGACCGGCGAGATCAACTGGGACTGCCCGTGTCTCGGCGGCATGGCCCACGGCCCCTGCGGCGAACAGTTCAAGGCGGCCTTCTCGTGCTTTGTCTACTCCGAGGCGGAGCCCAAGGGNTGGGACTGCCCGTGTCTCGGCGGCATGGCCCACGGCCCCTGCGGCGAACAGTTCAAGGCGGCCTTCTCGTGCTTTGTCTACTCCGAGGCGGAGCCCAAGGGAATTGACTGCGTGGAAAAGTTCAAGGCCATGCAGGACTGCTTCCGCGAACACCCGGACGTCTACAAGGACGAGATCGAGGACGACGAGGCCGCCAACGCCCAGTTCGACAAGGACGAGGCTGAGGCTGCTCATGAGTCGGCACAGGCTGATGCCAAGAGCGACGACAAGGTTTCCGAATCCAAGGAGGCGCAAAAGCAGGACAAGGAGGACAAGTGATTGGCTTCCGTGCCACGACGGCGCCATTTTAGCTCCAGAAGCTGCGCGGCCGCGATGAAGCGCAAGACGAACCTTACTCCAACCTTGTTTCGGCACTGCGCTGCCTTCCGCACCGCCTCACTACAGACTTCCGCACGCTTTGACTCTGCGCATTCACGTCCTTTGCGCACGCGCCCACCTCTCTCATGTAAACCAAAAGTCTGCGCCATAAGAGGTTGCTTCGAATCTACTCATATAGACATCCGCTCCCTGTTCAGCTCGAGCTCTTTGCGCCCTCGCTTTTGCTTTGCCACCGATGCTCGACGCAGCCATTCAGCGCCGCATATCTGTCGCTGAAGCCCTCGACGACCGCTTTGCCGCTTTCCCTGTTTGGCTTACATCTCAGCATCGTATCCATTTCGGGCGTCCTATCTATTCCGCCGTTTTCCTTGCCGTGCCCTGCCTAATCTTCCCCCATCCCTTGGTAACCAACCTCGCAGGGCTCTCATTCACAGTCTTAGCGACCAGGCTCTACCTTGAGCTCTATCTTGGGCTCCTACCCTTTGAGCCTCAGTCGCCTCTTCAAATTTCTGAACCGCAGGCCTGCCCATCTCCTCCCTTCAGGACTTCCGACACTGAAGTCGAGCCACCGCCAGAATACGATCAAGTCGAGCCACTGCCGGCATACGATCAAGTGGAACCGGGACCGCCCGGGTTCGAAGAACTCTTCTATCTCGACTGCGATGCAGAATTCTGGCCTTTCGTGTGGAGAGGACGTCGAAGGAACACAAACGCCCAATACCGAAACATCTACTACGAGCAATGGCAGCTCTGATTCTGGGTCCCTGACGCAGCGAGCCGCCATGATCCGCGACGAGCTGCTTGGCAACGACTCGGTGGCGAGCGACACCGAGCCGCTCTCCGACTCGTCCACCAGCAAGAGCGAAGGTGAAGCCGAAAGTCGAACGACCAAGACTTTGGACAGCAGCTTCGGCGAAGGGGATCTTGAAGACAGGCTCAGTTGCTCCGGCATCGCCCATTCGCTCCGCCACATCGCGCTGGCTTTTGATGAGAAGGTGAGCAGGCCCGATCGGCAGGCGACCAATTTGACTGTCACGCTAACGTTCTTGCTTCTACCTGCACTGTATAACAGAGTCGAGAGCTTGACAGCCTACGAAGTGTGAGCCTTACCTCTGTCCGTGACAAAATTGTACCTGTATCGCTGAACTTCTCGCCATTTCCCCCCTTTTGTTCGCAGATGCAGCAACGTCATGACGAGGAGCTCGCCATTCTTCAGGACAAACTAACGGCAGCCGAGTAAGTAGCCCTTTCTCTTTCTCTCATCCTTTCTCGAAAGCGAGATCCTCGGCTAGCCCCATGCTTACCATCTGTTCGTGTGTATGGACGCCCCCTCGATACAGACAAGAGCACACAGCGCGCACAATGGAGCTGCAGCTCGCGAACTCCTCTCGCGAGGACATGGAGCGCGAGATCGACGCTCTCAAGCAGAGACTCGAAGAGAAAGACGAGCTTCTGTTTGTCTCGGACCGCGTGCTTCACCGGCTGTTCAACATGATCCGCGTGATCAAGACGCAGGTGGACGAGGCCGAGTCCCTCTCCCCTGCCGTGCGCAGCTCCGACGATCAAGCTCAGAGCGATGGGACAGCAACGAAGGATTCCGACGAAAGCGATACGACGGAGATCGAAGCTCAATTTCCGACGTTGAAAAGCCAGGCCGAGGAGGAGATCGACCGCATCGTGCGCGGTATCGCAGAGAGGTACAGCATGACCAGCTTGGACGAAGAAGCGTAGCCTGGCCCCTTAGACCAAGTAGACATCTGCCTCTTTGCCCTGATTTTCAAACTAGAGCCCGGTCGATGCTTCTTCTCGAATAAATGCGTGCGATTGTAGTGCTTGCTGAGGAGGAGGAGGTGCGCAAAGCCGGTCGACACCATGGCGACGCCGCTTTGCGGGTTCGCTCTGAGATTAACGATGTAACATTTTAGCGATTATTCACACGCCGCGCTCGGACCTCGATATCGACTGCAGGTGCGCATGTTTCTCACTCTCCACGCGACCAACCAACACCATCTCCCCCTTCGACGCAGGCTGGGCGCATCGAGGGCTTGCAATAGCGAAACGACAGCGAAACGAGCGCTTTAGTCTACAGCCGCCTGTTCTCACAGCTTCGAGCCCTTGCGCCCATGCCAGTCGCATAATACTGCTCTGCGCCGAGCGAACGCCTCGTCACAATGAGCTTTGCCATTCCATCACACCATCTCGCCGCCATGTCGGCAGCATCTCTCACCCCGCGAGGGAACGGCACACCGCAGCGAAACGGCACAGCACTATCATCCTCGCCAGCATCATCGTCGCACGGCCATGGGGCCGCATCGTCAGCGCCAAAGGCGGCGTCGGTAGCCATGTCGGCGGCACTTTCCGCAGCCACCCAGCCAGGGACAGCGGGATCGGGGCCATCGAATCTTGTCGCCGAGTTCCTCAAGTCGCCTGACGACATGGCCAAGATCGCGGCGCTGCGCAAGAAGCTGCTCAAAGAGCAGGCGAGTCTGTCGGCCAAGCTCAAGCTGGGCGCCAAGGAGCAGCTGGAAGCGACGCGCGAAGGACTGTTGAAGCTGCAGGCGACACGCCAAGACGTAGCGGCGATCAGAGAGGCATTTGCGCAGGTCGAAGCACTCTACAACAATACCGATGTCGACGGAGGACCGGGATCGCAGTCGACAGACGCGAATCGGTCGTTCCGCGTGATCAGCCAGGTCTCGCAGATCCACCGCAACTTTGTGCAGACGACGAGCACTTTGGAGAAGCTGGATGCGCTTCCGGAGCAGATCGAGGCGCTAGCGGATATGCTGCAGCGCGGGCGGGACGACATCATGGGTCCGGCGACCGATCTGCTGCCGTTGCATTTCCATCTTTCGCAGCTCGAGTCGTTTCGCAACGAGACGTTCCAGATTGCACGCACGTGCTCGGCGGATGTGCGCAGCACGGTGGCCGAGTTCTTTGCACCGCTCGATGGGCTTATCCGGGCGTTTGACGAGTATATTATGACGCTGGCCGAGCGCACGATGGATCTGGTGCGCGAGGGCCGCCCGGCAGTGGTGGTGAAGCTCATCAAGATCATCGAGAAGGAGTCGCGCGAGGACGAGCGGGCGGCGGCGATCCGTCTGGCCAAGCGCGCCAACCTCGAGGGCGCTGCACGGTTCCGGTCGGTGGTGGCCAACGCGCGCGTCATCAAGCTGTACCGACCCAAGTTCGTCGAGGCGATCGACCGGTCTGCGGCGGAGCTGTTTGACGAGTGCTGGTCGCGCTTCGGCTCGGACGGCACGAGCCTCGAGTTCCTGGCCCACCTGGACTGGATCTACGACGACCTGCGCTTTGTCGAGGCCGAGGTGGTGCCGCTCTTTCCGGCGGACTACAAGATCGTGCGCACGTTTGTCAAGAGCTACCACAAGCATCTGGGCGCCATTCTGCGCGAACGCATCCTGGCGACGGATCCGGAGGCGAGTGCGCTGCTGGAGCTGTACCAGTTTACGCAGGAGTACACCAAGACGATGACCAAGGAACTGGGAGCGGACAAGGCGTGGCTGGAGCCGTCGCTGCTGGGTGGCAAGGAGCAGACGATCATCGACGACTATCTGGGGCTCATCACCAACAAGATCGACGAGTGGACGGCGAATCTCATGTCGGACGAGGTGCGCGAGTTTGTGGCGCGGCAGAATCCGCCCGAGGAGGACAACGAGGGGCTGTATGGCTTGCAGGGTGCAGCGATCCTCTTCCAGATGGTCAACCAGCAGGTGGACGTGGCTGCAGATTCGGGCCAGGCGAGCGTGCTGGCCAAGGTGGTGGATCATGCTGCCAAGGCGATGCACTCTACGCAGGCGACGTGGCTGCGAGTGCTGGAGAGCGAGTTCAAGAAGCAGCGCGAGGCCAAGACGCCCGAGGACGTGGTGGGTGGGCTGGTGGAGTACGTGATTGCGTTGGCCAACGACGAGCTCAAGTCGGCCGACTATGCCGAGGCGCTCATCGCGCGGTTGGAGCCGATGGTGAGCAAAAAGTACCAAGCGGGCATCCGGGAGGCGGTGGACAATGCGCTCAACGGCTTCCTGGACGTGTCGAAGCGGTGCACGCAGGTGCTTGTGGATCTGGTCTTTGCCGATCTGCAGCCTGCGATCAAGGAGCTCTTTGGCTTCCCGGCGTGGTACTCGGAGGGCACCATGACGACCATCGTCGAGACGATGCGCGACTACACTTCGGACTACAGCGAGCGACTGAACCCGAACCTGTTCGACGTGCTGTGCGACGACATGATGGACCGCTTCCTCGTGTCGTACATCGGTGCGCTGCGACGGGTGGGTAGCGGCAAACTGCGCATGCCTGCTGCCGGCGACCAGATGCGCAAGGACGTCGACGACGCCAAAACCCTCTTCCTCGCGTTCAAGAAGGAGGAAGAGGTGCAGGAGAAGTTCGAGGTGGCCGATGCGATCCTGGGCTTGCTCACCTCGTCGCCAACGATGGTCTTCCTGCCCTACTGGAGTTTCGCCAAGGCGCATGGGTCTCACTTGGGCTTTTTGGAGGCGGTCATGCGGGCGCGCGACGATCTCAAGAAGGACGATGTGAACGGCATCATGGAGAGCGCGCGACGCAAGGTCAAGAGCGAAGGGCTCAACGACGTGGTTCCCGCGACCGGTGGGCCGACGGTGATGAGCCGGGTAGCGCAGGCGTACGGCTCGAGCTTTGGCAGCGGCCTGCTCGCCAATCTGGGCGCCGAGAGAGCCGCAGGCATGGCGGCGAGCGCCCTAGCCAGCTGGAAGAGCAAGGAGCGCGACTGACCGAGCCTACACAAAGTGACCGAACCCATCCTCGGAAAATTCGCCGGCGATGCGGATGAACGTGTGGGCGCGGCACAGTAAAAATGCGCACAACACTTGCGAGAATGACCGGTGTGCAGGCGAATGCAAAGTCTCTGCGAAGCGCGATTGCTGAATGAGCGCAGGTAAGCGTGCCGAAGCGGAGATGGAAAGGCAAGCGCAACAGAGAGCGACGACGATGCGAGCGTGCGGATCGATCGGAAGGGACGCTGTGCGATTGTGAGGAGTCTGTGAGTGTAGCCGAAGAGCCAAGCGAGGACGCTGCGAGAAGGCGGTCGCGTCACTGCTTGAAGAGCGAGAGAAATCGGCACGGAGGAGGCGGAAAAGTGACCGTTCCGATGATTTTGATTTTTGCTTTTGTAAAAACGACCGACGTGCAGCGGCGCCCCACCTTTTTTTTTTTTT